ATATATATATATATATATATATATATATATATATATACATGTATTTTATAGGCTTTGCTTTAAGATAACTCCACTTTTGTCTTGGCCCTGCTCGAAGCACCTGTAGCCTTTGGAAAAATAGTTGATGTGTGTCGATCTGTGTTTTTTCCACAGTACGTGGGGAGTATTGACGTGCCCAGACCCAACAGTCGGATGGAGATCGTGGCAGCTATGAGGAGAATCAGGGTAAGGTCAACACACAACACCACGAGTGGAAATTCAACTCAAGACATAGGTATAGAAACCTGAAACTTGATCAAAGCTTTGTATTACTAGTTACTACTGCTGCCGAAATGAACAGACATATAAAGGTTGTTGGGTCTTGCACACTCATCCTGCGTCCTCTGGTGATTTCCCGGTGATGGAAGACAGAAACTACTTTTACAATACCACAGTAATCACAGAATGAAAGGAGTGTGCTGCTGTCAGATGAAATTTATTCTCAGGGTGCAGCGATGCATCGACTGGCTTCTGAACGACGAGTCATGGTGAAACGAAGCAAGGCAGAGATAAATGAGTGAAGGGGAATTCCTATGTTTATTATAAGCATGTATTATAGTTGAATAAATAATTTCAATATGCCTGGTAATTTGTTGCACAGGTGAGCTGAAATTTTTATTCTTTTTTTGTAATTTTTTGATGCAAATAGAGTTTATTCAGGTCGGAGGTGACTGCTGTGTTGCTTTAAACGTGTATTTAAAAGATACATTTTAAGAGGCACTGAGTTGTTTCACAAACAAACTTCTACAGAGCTGCAGAGGCCAAATCTGTGCATGTTGGTGCACGGGTCGAGTTAAAACTGTGCAGCCTGATTCCCAAACTTGCAAATGAATGAAGTGGAAACATGACTACTGTGGTGCTCCACAGCTGGAAAACATGTGTGCACTGTACAAATGCAGTGCCTGTTTTAGACACGTAATGCATCAGGTTGACTGATATACACATATATGTATATAAATTGTAACTTCCTCATGTGATGGTGGAAACTACGAGAGTCAGTCAATACAAACATTTGGTTTATCCTTTGTCTTGTTTGTTTAAAATCATCTTCACTGACAGTAAAAAGACTTTTTACTTATAGGCTCTTACTATGATCTGTAAATGACTTCAGCCCCATCTTCACTACTTTTATTATTGTCCCATGTCATGGAGCAAAAATGGAATTGGAAACACCATCCCTCCATCGGTCCATCCTTCCATCCAACTGTGCATGTTGTGAGCATGATAACTTGGAAAAATAAACGAGGTATACCAACTTCTATTTTGGTGCGTGGCTGCATCTAGGCTTTAAAAAAGGTCCTAATAAAATTTGGTTGCCAAGTCAAAGTCCAAGATGGCCACCACCATAAGTATGTAAACCAGCCACCCTCATCATTTGAGGAAGTATGCTTTCTGGTTTTCATCTTGCTTACAAGTATTCTTTCCTCAAATGATTGGGTCAAAAATAAGCAATGTGCCAACTTCCACTTTGGTGTGTTGCTTCATTCATGTGCTTGAAAGGTCACTTCTGGAAAACTGGGTTGACACGTTAAAATCCAATGTGACCACAGTAAACTGAACACCTCTATTATTCGATTAAACTATTATACTTAAAAGTATAGTTTTGCTCAGCAATAACTCTACCTCGTCGTTTGTCCAGGGCGCTGGTGCTATCTTTTGTGTTGCCATTTTTCTTCAAAGAAAAATAGGAACTTTATCACACAAGTGGCCAGAAGCAAGTAGCTAAAGGAAACAGCGGTAAGGAACAGTTGCTGGAAGTATGACATATGTGACGTCACGTGACCCCTCCAGGCTAGCAAACCAGTCAAGGGCCAGCAGTCTGCTGATGTCAAATCTGCAGCACCAGCGTGGCCTGAATGGAAACTTTGATCTCTGGATTCCAAAACCCGTGCTGGAAGCTGGTCCACGTGCATAAGAGCCATAATGCTAGATGCCTGTGGGGGAAAATACATCATTTTTCAAAATGAGCCACATTAACAGTTTGGATTTATCTACTTTTTTTTACATTCAAAAGTAAATTTGCGTTCTTAAATGAAGGGCAAACTGAGTCTAGTTTCAGTCTGAATAACCAAACAACTATGTGAAAATAACCACCTGATGCAAAAGTGATTACAGTGTGTTAACCATATAAAGTTTTTTGGGACTGCAGCAATTTCAAGGTGGCAGAAATCTGCTTCACTGGCATCCTGACTGACTAGATGTTTGCTCGTGTCCCCTTGTAACAACTTCTGCCTGGTATTCCACACTGATAACTCTCTTTGTCTTTTCTGCTGCAGGTAAGATATTGGCTATAGATAACAGCTCAACTTCAAACATTAAAAACTATTCCTTTAAGGTTGACTGAGGTTTTGTGTTACATGTCAATGGGGGGAGAATATGGGAAATAAAAGCACAGATTTGTGTACTACAACAGGATGTGTCATTGTTTGTAGGGAGCTTCCTGGAGTCTGTTGCTTGGATTTTGTTGTCCTTGAGGAGTGTCAGTGCACCTGTCTCTCTCTGCCTCCAGTCTGAGTGCTGGCTGCAGCTGAATATTTAATGCCCAAAGATGACTGGTATGGATCCTCTCATCTAACTGACTCTCAGCAGCACAGCAACTGAGCTCACCTCCCAGCATCCCACCACTCTTTTAAATTAAAACGACACCATCATGGTGACTTAAATAGGACCATAAGTAGCAGAGCACAACCTTGTCTTCTACACCTACTGTGCTTTTTGCATTTACCTACTGTTATAATGCTGCATTTCTTAATGCTTCTCCTTGTCAGTTTTAAATCAGTCACTGTGTTGTTTGCTGGCAGGTTCCTTCTGCATCTATTCAATCAGCTTATTGCTGAACTCTGCACATATGCTCCCTTCTTCATATCCCTGTCACTGGGTTGTCGTTGGACTTTCCAGATTTTAGATTTACAGCCTTCCCTTGTGTAAGCCTTGCCTTCATAATTAGTCTGTTTGTTAGTGTTGTTGTTTTGCATTTGCCTTCCTCGTTCTTGCTTTTCTCTGCCTGACATCACTTATTTTTTCATCAGAGTTTAAACATTAGAGTTTGCTCCTTTTCTGTTGTACAATTTGACCCCTGGATTGTCTGAGTGGCAGGAATAATAGTGGTCCATTACCATGGTAACCAGGTTAGGTTTGATAATAATTTAACACATTTTTACTGATTAACCAATGTGGAAAGAGAAAAATAATCTAGTCAGAGGGACTTTCCCGACGCCTTGAAAAGCAACATCTTAAATAATCATCTGTAGGAGAAATAAACCTCAACCACTTACCTCAAACAGAGAAAAGTTTAATGTTTTGTAGCCCTTACTTGTTGTGCCATTTATTCACAGGACTGATTTTTCATCCTTTTCATTTGTTTCAGGCAGTTTTTAAGAAAATTTCTAAAACGTCTAATTTAGGAAATCTTTAAAAAAAAATCCATGGAAATTTGAAAAACTTTGGGTACCACTTTACAATAAGGCTCCACTTATAATGATATAAATATAAAAAGTTTATAGATACATTATTAATTCATCTGAAAGCACTTTATAAATCATTAATAACTGCTTATTATGCATTAATTAAGGGTGACAGAGACAAAACTGACCAGATTATTGTCATTGGAGACATGATCATTGCCCTTGAATGTCTTTTATCCTTGATGTAATTGAAAATCCATGTGTGTCGACATGTTGAGAAGCACTTTGCTGAGAGGCAAAGAAATTGAACCTAAATAACGGCCTACTGGCATCTTTAAGCTGATTTTATGCATGTAGGCTGTTTTTTTGTTGATTTTTTGATCACTATGGCTGTTAACAGCATCATAGTTGCTGCTGATGGATCTCACCCATCTAATGAAAGGGTCTCAGATTAAGAAAACCCATCTGAGTTGAGGTCCAGCATGGTTAGACCACTCAGTGGGGTCTTCATTGTTAGCAGTGAAAGAGACAAATGAGAAGAAAGAGAATTTGTGAACCGGGGTCATGGCAAACAAGCTACACTGTACTGAATGTCCCTCCCCCAAACCCTGTTTCATTATGCTTGGCCTCCAAGGAGTCTGGTTTTCTGATCATAAACAAATTTTATGAAACATGACTTTCAAACACTGTTTATTCTGCAAATATTTTAAACCTGGCACCTCTTCTTTAATCTTCCATTTGTCCACCTTAGTTTAAAAGACTCAACACGATATTTATCATTTATCAACAATATGATAATTAACTGTTGTTTTGCACCACTGATATGAATCTTAGTTTTCTTATTAGGGATATTATTTGTTCTTTATGAAGTTGCACATTCCAGTTCTAGTTTCAGACATAGGATTTTTTTAGGGCAGTTTCTTTTTCAATGGTTGTGCGCTTTCCTCTGCTCTGACACGTGAATGTGAACATATGAGCTTTGAACAGCAGGCGTGCTCTTTTAGGCATATTTGCCAAGTCAAATGTGATTATGGACAAATATTGACTGACTACCATTCCTTTTCTGCCTTTAAGTAAAGAACACTGCCATTTAATGTAAAAGTGCAGCCCTTTCAGCTAAGGGGTTGAACACAGACTGTAGATTTCAGAGAGAGGAATGAAAGGCAGAGGCAGAAAGACCCGAGAGGAAGTCCTGGAACGGGTACATGCTGTGTGGTGGTTGGCAGAGCCGTAGCGGTTTCGTCTCCCTTGGTTAATCTCTTTAGCCCCAGCCAATGTGAGAAAACAACTGCACACATGATACGAGAGGAGGGAAAGTCTTTCTGCTTGTTCAGGAAAGTCTTTAACAAACTCATCCACCTGCCGTTCCCACAGAGATGAAGAGAAAAGATGTCCCGTGGATCTTTTCAGGAAAATGTATTTATTTATTTTTTGTTAAATGGTTCCCCAGCTATGTTCCACTGGTCCTACTGAGCTGGTTTTGGGGAATTAGTTTCATTCAGTTTACCCAGTGGCATAGAAAGTGCCAGTTTACCCAGTGGCATAGAAAGTGCACGCTCATAGACAGCTTTGTATGCAAGTTGTGCAAGTGTGCGTTTGAGGCACAGCGCTCCATTTTCAAGCGACCTCATGCATTCTAACAACGTCCGCGATCGATTAAACGAGGCCTACTAACAAAGGCCGGTGTTGCTCCATCCACATGGAAAGATTCAGCGTCTTCCACGGCTCACTGCCTCTGAAAAGGACGAGTGGCTGTGGTGGAATTTCCTCGGGAAACAAACG